TTAACAATGTTTATTTCGTTCAGACTTTTAAAAACAATTTAACGTAAGTCTATTCATTAGTTTTTATGCATCGAAAACAGACAGTTTTCAATATTTTTTTACTACTAACCTTAACTATTAGGTATCAGATAAACCATCCTCCAATATCCTCCAAACATTTGATTATGTAAATCTAATGCTAAATGTGTGCAAATAGTCATGCATCATAAAATTTTGCAACATTTTGCAATAAAAAAAGTTATAACAAAACATTGATTTTTGGTTAATGGTCAGTTGATTAGAAATACTGAACATGTAAAAAAGATGTTTCGTACACAAAGAATCCCTACAAAACCTTTCATTACTGTCATAATATATAAGTTCTGTAAATATAAATCTAAAAGAGTTTTTTTATGACAAATACATATATATTGAAAAGTAATATTTTTGATGTTTACACTGATAAAAGTTGTCTTGTCCATTAAAAATAATTTTGTATTTTTCACCAAAATTTAATTTTTTTTTTTTTTTTTTTTTTTAATTATTATATAATTACATGTTTATTACTTTATTTAAGCATTTTATATATAAATATAGCTATTCTAATAAAAAAAAGCTACGAAAATAAATTTGGCACAAAAAACTCAATTTTGTCCCACTGTGCATTGGGTTGATCATATTTTGGGTTCCTATCTCTTGTTATATTATCCCATGTACTCATTATAGCATCTTCCAAATCTTTCCATTTAAATGCTCGGCCAATTTTTCTGTCCAAAATATAACACAAATTTTTTATTGGATTTAAGTCGGGACTTTGAGACAGCCATTTCAAAACATTGATGTTATTTGTGTCAAAGTTTTGTTTTCTCCATTGTTAAGAAGCATAATCTGATTGGAACTGTTACTAGTGTGGCTGGTAGAGGACAAAAACGCAACATCACCAGTGCAATTGATTGAAATATCATTATTAATGTAAAAAAATGCTGTATCATACTGGAAAAATTTGTGGTTAGATGAGTCAAAATACAACCTCGTCTCGTCGGATGGAATCCAGAAAGTGTGGGAAAAAAAAGGAGAAGCTTATAAATTGAATTATTTGTGAGAAAATGTTAAGCAAGGGGGAGGAAACATGTTGGTGTGGGGTAGTATGAGTTATAAATAAATGCTTCAATGTATTGTGAAATTCTCAAAGCCAACTTGCAACCATCTACTTAAAAATTGAGAATGGGAAATGATTTCATACTCCAGCAGGATAATGATCCAAAACATGCCAATAAGAAAACAAAGGTATACTTTGACACAAATAACATCAATGTTTTGGAATGGTTATCTCAAAGTCTGGACTTGAATCTAATAGAAAATTTGTGGTATACTTTGGAGAGAAAAATTGGTGACCGAGCATTTAAACGCAAAGACAAGATGAAAGAAGAATTTAATATAAAAACAGAAGAGACCCAAAATTTGGTCAACTCAATGCCAAACCATCTACTTGAGGCCATCATGGCCAAATTAAACCCCACTCGATACTAATTTCCATGGAATTTGATAAATTTGACATTAATTTTAAACTGTACAATTATTTTTTTTGCAGTCAATTATATGCACCATTAGATCAATTGTGTAAAATTCAAGAAGTTTAAAAAGCAATTAATTCACCAATATACAAATAAATCCTCAAAACAATATTTGATAAGCCAACTATGAAATTTTTTTTTTAATTCTAATAGGAAACTCATTTTTTGATGCAATCTTTAAATTTATGATTTTTTTTTAAAGTGAACGATTATCTTTTTTGCATACTGTATATATGTGTATGTATATCTATATATATATATATCTAAATATATATATATATATATATATATATCTAAATATATATATATATATATATATATATATATATATATATATATATATATATATATATATATATATATATATATATATATATATATACTCATATAGTGTCGCTTTAAGAGCATTTTAATGTAAAAAAAGTCTCTTACGACTACAATTTTAATTACCTCGTCTCTTAAGCTGTTTTTGATTGTCATCGAAATGTCAAAGCAATTAATTTATGCGGAAGTACATTAAATTTAATTGTTTTTTAAAAAATTTTTAAAAAACCGCAATTATAACGACTAGAAAGTTTTTTTTAATTAGTGGTGTTTTTGTTATTGATTTAATAAAAAACATTTTTTAAACATGCGTAAATGTTGCTACATCGACTATCTTATAGCCTGGCTCGCAACGGAGTGCTGCTACATCGACTGACAAATAGCCTGACTCGCAACGGAGTGCTGCTACATCGACTGACAAATAGCCTGACTCGCAACGGAGTGCTGCTACATCGACTGACAAATAGCCTGACTCGCAAGGGAATGCTGCTACATCGACTGACAAATAGCCTGACTCGCAAGGGAGTGCTGCTACAACGACTGACAAATAGCCTGACTCGCAAGAGAGTGCTGCTACATCGACTGAGGGTTTGGATTGGCCAGGCAGTCTATCAATTAAAAAAAAAAATTTAATTTTTAAAACTTTTTCTGGTCTGGTTTATTAACGCGCTCTTTAAAACTACAGTTTATGGGAAATATTTTTTGATGCTACGCAAGAGACATGCAAGACTATATATATATATATATATATATATATATATATATATATATATATATATATATATATATATATATATATATATATATATATATATATATATATATATATATATATCTATATATAAATATAAATATATATATATATATCTATATATATATAAATATATATATATATATATATATATATATATATATATATATATCAATGTATATATATATATCAATGTATATATATATATCAATGTATATATATATCTATATATATATATATATATATACATATATATATTTATATATAGACATTAAATCAATAAATGCTCTCAAATAAATAATAAAATACAGACCCTTTAACCGTGAAAATAAAACTTGACCACACAGTTGGCTTTAACGTGTCCAATTTAGAACAATATTTTGTTAAATAGAAGCTAAAAAATTAAAGTTTGTTATTCGCTATGGTGAGGTCAGCATTAATATTGATTTCCATATTTCTTTAGAAACAAGGATAATGTGGCTTTAGTTACTTGGTTTTTTAAATTTAATAAATTATGAATCCATATTTAACTGAAGAATTAGTTGCTTGTACAATAGAAACAAAGCATAGGCCTAATGTGTTAAATTACAAAACTAGACTCATTAAAGCTCTCTGAGATAACTAAAGAAATCTTGGTTACACATTATTAAGTTATTTTTTGTTTATTTTGAGCTTTATGAAAATTTTATTTAATTAAAATAATATCACAAAATGGAACCAGATGTTAGATGTTAGAATTAAACTTTATTGCTGTTTAACTAATTATTAACACATTTTACAACAGATTTTTATTAATGCATATGAAAATGAATTATTTATTAAACATACAAATAACCTATAAGAGTTATTTTTATTAAGAAATTATGGTATATATGTAATATTAGTAAAAAAAAAAAAATTATTATAATTATACTCTTTTTTTGTTATTACATTTTAGTATATTACATTATACTTATTATTACATTTCAATATATTTTACTATTTTTTTCTCAGGTCAGGTCAGATGGTCTTTACAACTATTTTTTTCTCAAGTCAGGTCAGATGGTCTTTACAACTATTTTTCTCAGGTCAGGTCAGATGGTCTTTACAACTCAGTATCTTTGATTTTAAATAACAATAAGCATACTTCATAAACTCTAAGATGACATTGAGTTATTTGAAAACATAAATTTTTACACAAGGTAAGATTATTTTTGGAGTTATTTGAATCAACATAGATCTGAATATTCTCAGCTTTCTAATTATCACTATTTCGTTTAAAGGCTCTGACAGTTATTCAACAATTAACAATAATATGATTTCTGAACTTCTTTTAAAAGAAGCGATTTAAATTGCTTTGATAAAACATTTTCATCTTTCATTTGTCTAATAGCATTATCCAGTGTTTTAAAGCAACCTATTGAATCTATCCTGAAATCATAGCTTTTTAATACCCTTATAAAGTCTTGTATCCAAAAATTAAATTATTATTTTGTGGTGTAATTTAGATAAAACAAAAAACAAAAGTGTTTTATGTTATAAGCCAAATCATTTTGTAACACTGGTTAAAGATCTTCCAAAAAAACGTCCAGCTGTTGTTATTAGCAATATAAGTTTACTTAGTATCAAAAAAATAAAAATTGCTAAGTCTAGTTTTCCACCTAAAAATACAGAAACCAATTCAGTTTAAATTATTATTTCCTACTGTTTCTAAGAATACTTTCAGATATAAAGTCTGGTAATTGTAATAAAACAGTAAAAACTGAAGTAATTATCTCAAAAGACGCCAACAACAGTGATAAAAACACTCTTGAATCTAATGTTTCACAAAAAAAAAAACAATGTTGATGATGTTAGTTTATTACAAATCACCTTATTAACTATGATTTTTCATCATACTATCTACATGGTGAAAAATTTAAATCAAAAACAAATGATAATGAACTGTACACTTTTTAGTACATGTTTACCAAACAAATATGCATTATGTAAATTGTTTAAAGAACCATTCAATACCTGGCACAATGCTGTAGAAATTTTGGAAAGAAAAGACAGAATTACCACCTACTATTTCAGATACATTAAAGTTTATGGATGTTTCCTCTCTAACAAATAAACAATGTTTTTAGCCATATTCATAAAAATTATTATACTTATTGTAATAATGGCACTGTCACCATTGTAAATCAAGGGTGGTTAAGTAAAGAAGAAAACTAATAACTTTGTCTCCCTAACATTAAAGTTTAAAAAAATGATAAATATGGCGCTCGCAGGATTACTTTTTACCTCCTCAGTCCTTCCTACAGAAAAAACCAAACGTAAAGTAGCTCATTTTAACCAGAAAGAGGAGGGAGGGGGGGATATAGGATGATGTCACCCCTTCTTCCGCACTGGCCAATATCAAATTGTATTCGGCAATTTTAAATATAGTGATTTTGGACATTTTAAAGTCGGGAAATGAAAAAAATCTTGTACACTTAACTTGTTTCTGTGTACACCAGCCTTGGTGTCTTTCACAAAGTTTGTGTTTTGGAATTAAAGGTTAAGAAAAAGCAATAAAAAATAGCACCTGCATCTGCATATGTTTCTAATGATATTGTTATTTAGTAAATTTTTTCATTGTATATTCATTGTATTGGCAGTTTATGGTATAGTTAGGCAGCAATGGTAAGGTTGTATCTTTTCAAAATAATTGAAAATGACTAACGAAGATATTTTTTTGTTAATTATCTTCTTTATTTTGTAATCTTTAGTAGTATCAAAATCTGGTAATCATGGTAACATGGTAAGATTATGTATTATATATTTTTAAAACTATAATATTGCACATCCACTGTTACATTTAAACATTTGGTTTTGCTCATTGACGAAAATGAAAAAAGGATAGTGGGTGGAAAAGTTATGACTATTCCAAACCTGGCCCCACCCTTATTATGTTAAACCCTGGACAGTCAAAATGTAGCTTCTATTGGTTACAAGATTCTTTCTTAAAGCCCTTTGTTTTCTTAAAAAATATTGGGTAAAAGTGTAGAATTTTTTATTGTACTTTTGAAGACATTCATCTCTTAAAATAAAGAGAACTAAATGATAAAAAAACTTACAACAAAAAATATAACAACAATAACTATATGCAAAAATAAAAATTAAAAATATTTTTATTTTGAGGTATAAAAAAGTAGATAAATTAAACACTTCTATTTGGAAATAAAAAAGTCAATAACTTTACCTTTATTGGATCAGATTTAATGTTTTGACCTGATACTTTTTCATATTCACTAATTTCTAATTCTAACATATCCAATAACTAAATTCCAAAATAAAATGCTAAACATAAAGGAAAATCTAAAATTTTAAAATAACTTATAAATTCAAAATTTACCAAACAATCGTTTATTCATTTGAAAATAAATTAGTATATACATACTAATGTAAAATTAATATATACATACTAACGTAACTATTAAAATATACACACAAATGTAAATATTAAAAACAATAAGACATAGAAGTAAATTTTTTACAAAAATATATTTTTTATCATAGTTAAAAATTTAATATATATATATATATATATATATATATATATATATATATATATATATATATATATATATATATATATATATATATATATATATATATATATATATATAATTAGCAAGTTGTAGAAAATATATAGTTAAAAACAAAACAACTGAAAAAACATACCTTTTTCATATCATTGAACGACTGGGAGGAAGGATGCCTTTGTTCATCACACGATTTTGATAATTGATTATGGCTAACATTGTTTCTGAAAACAACATAAAATTATACAATTTAAGTTAATTTATTTCCATTTTCAAAGTTGATTAGTTTTTATCATTTGATATAATTTTGCTTAATTTTTTTTTCCTATTGATGCTTTGTTTTTTATTTCTTCTTCCTGTTGTTTTATTGTACTTTCTTTTTTTTAATATTGTAATTAAAATAACTTTTTAGAAGACAAAAAATTTACTTGATTAGTTCACTTTGTTTAACAGAATGATGTTCCTTTTGATTTTCTTGAAAAAAAAAAAAAAAATATATATATTAATATATTATTTAAAAATAACTTATAACAGCTCTAAATGTATTCTAAAAACATACATACATACATACATACATACATACATACATACATACATACATACATACATACATACATGTATGTGTGTATGTATGTGTGTGATACTAAATACTGTCATGTTGTATTCAAAATATCCCTTGTTAAAAATTACTATACATCAGCATATATAAAGTATGAAAAATGCAAAAGAAAAAAAAATTATTTAACACAAATTCTACAAATTATTGAATGTGAAACAAATCAAAACACAGTTTTTGAACATTTGTAGAAATTGTTATCCCTTTTTAAAGACCATATGCATCAGTGAGCATTTTTTATACACATAATAACTACAGCTCAGTAATAAGCAAAATGCACCACAGTCTTTTAAACTAAGTGAAACAAAATTCTATAGAATTGTTCAATATGCAAAACCATTAAAATTTAAAAATGACAATATCTCAAAAAATACAAGATTAACTTCTGAAATATTTTATATTTGGTTTTTAGCTGTAGCGCAAAAAAACTTATTACACTTGTGAATATATGAGTGGATCAAAAAACAACAATTTAAATAGAAATGCATTGTAATAGCTCTAAATGTATTCTATATAAAAAAATAACACTGGAACTTGATGCTTGGCAGGGGCAAGGGCCAAGGGGCCATTTACTGCAACAATAAATATATTTCATATGTATGTATGTATGTATGTATGTATGTATGTATGTATGTATGTATGTATGTATGTATGTATGTATGTATGTATGTATGTATGTATGTATGTATGTATGTATGTATGGATGTATATTCTATATTACATATGTATGTGTATTCTATGTTACATAGCTTTACGGCAGATGGTAAAAAGTGGCTCTTTGTTTTGACATTTTAAGTTTATAAAAAAAAGTTTTTGAGCAAGAGGAAGGCATAAACTAGCCTTTCATTTAAACATATCTGGGGCGGATCTACCAATGATGCCCTTTCTCTTTTAGACAAGGTGCAAAGACGCATTGTAAACATAGTTGGACCTGCTCTTGCAGCCAACCTCCAACCATAATCACATCATAGTAATGTTGTTTCTCTCAAGAAATGATGTTGAAATATATATATATATATATATATATATATATATATATATATATATATATATATATATATATATATATATATATATATATATATATATATATAATGTTGAAATATATATTTCAACACCATCGTTTGAGAGAAACAACACTACAACGATGTGATAATGGTTGAAGGTTGGCTGCAAGAGCAGGTCCAACTATGTTTACAATGCATCTTTGCACCTTGTCTAAAAGAGAAAGGGCATCATTGGAAGATCCGACCCAGATATGGCAACAGTATTCCATACAAGAACAAATTTGAGATTTATAGAGATAAAGAATAGAATCCGGAGTAAGAAAGTATCGAGCAACATAAGAGATGCAAACTTAGCAGATGCTAATTTTGCAATGGATTTGATATATGGTTTCCAAAAAAGATCAGAAGTAAAAGTTAATTCTAAAAGATGAATCATCAAGTACATTACCGTTCATAAATAAAAGAAGATCTAAATTAATGCGATAATGATTGGCTAAAAAAATTGGGTTTATCTGAATAAAAGTTGAACAGCCACTGTAAGCCCCATGCTGTAGCAGAAGTGAGATCCTTTTCAAGTTCAAATGCCTCCTCCAAACAATCAGATAGTGTTGGATTCTTATCAAGACAAGAATAAATGATAGTATCATCAGCAAGCAATACCACCTTAAATGTGAAAATATCCGGAAGATCATTAATGTAAATTAAAAAGAGTAAAAGGCCAAGGGTAGAGCCTTGAGGAACCCCTTTAGTTTCAGGATACGAGTGCTGTCCATCAAGGACAACTTTTATACTAAGGCTGGTAAAAAAAGGGACAATCTTACGATGTTATCTAATATGTCATAAAAAGAAAGCTTATGGAGAAGACCAGCATGCCAAACTTTATCAAAAGCTTTAGAAATATCTAGAGCAATAGTCATAACTTTTCCACCTCTATCTAATGCATGATAAATTCTAGCGATTATTACTGTTAACAAATCGGCTGTAGAACAAGAAGATTGAAATCCATATTGATGATCAGAAAGTAAGTTATTAGATTCAAGATGAGAGATTAGGTGTATGTTAATTAAAGATTTAAAAACCTTGCTTATGATAGGAAGAAGACTAATGGGACAGTAGTTAGATAAGTCAGATCGTTCTCCAGAATTTTTGAAAATAGGAATAACAGATGCCACTTTTCAGCAGGCTGGAAAACAAGAATCTGATAAGCACCTGTTAAATAATTTTAAAAGTATAGACCACAGCTCCAGAGAACACTCCTGCAAGACTACAACAGGTATTTTGTCTGAACAACAAGCTGTAGAAGGGTATAAGTAGGAAATCATTTTAGATACAGAAGCTGGAGTAATAATGTCAAACAATGGGTCAACCTGTTTGTCTGCAATATCAGGTAGAATGGAACTAGTGGAATCAAGAGATGATATTGATTAAAAGCAAACAATTCAGCTTTGTCTTTAGGTGAGGTGACAAAATCTGAACCATACAAGAGAGGTGGAATATCAAATTTGCCCTTAATAATGATACTGTTACAGATTCTCCAGAAGTCACAAGAGCCTAATTTTTACAATGAAATACGAGATTTCATGACTTAAGAATAGCAGGCTTTGGCGTTAGACAAAACCTTTTTACAATGGTTTTTAGAAATAGTAAACAGACGGGGGTTGTCCATAAATGATATCAGTGATTTTTCTCAACGATGATAGGGGGATTCTTACAATGAAGAAAGATGAGATAATAGTTTTAGAGAAATAAAACATGGTCAGAAGCACTTAAGGGTGAATGTGAAGAATTTTTATTATTATTATAAAATTTTATCATTTTACTTTTCTATAACAAGAATGGATTCTTTTTCGCAGCTGATCTTCATTTTGAGCTTCCCATTTGTTTTCATACACGTAACATTTAAGGATTGACCAGAAATCTTCTATTTGTCAATAATGCCGAATTATCAACTTTTGTTACAAAACAGATATTTTTCTCATCGAGGTAATTGGACGCACTTCTAGCATAATGTGTAGAGGCCACATCAGGCCAGAATACATAACTACCATTACTGTGATGTTTGTTGATAAAAAGATCCAATTGTATGATAATGAAATCATTTTTGTACACTGTTTGGTTAATTGCCAGTCTCGCAGGAACAATAAATGGTTTTGAAATTCCACAAGGTGAAATGGTAATCACACAAGATTACCATTTTCATATTTCAAATTTACTTTTGCCCTTATACTCTACATTTTTTGCTTCTCAAAGATTGTGCCAAATTTTTGTCACCAGGGGTTATTATAAATACATCTGTGCCAGCCCAGTAGATGAAGAAGGGGTGCGAGTTTGGTCAAGAGAGAGAATCTGTTTACCCCACAAGTCTAATTATATATATATATATATATATATATATATATATATATATATATATATATATATATATATATATATATATATATATATTTATATACATGTGTGTGTGTGTGTGTGTATACACATATATATTTGTTGTTGTTACATCTGATTTTTCTATATTATTTGCTCTACCAATTATAACACACTGTAATGAGCACATACATACATACATACATACATACATACATCAACCCTCAGAATTAGGGTTGGCATTTGGCAATACCGACCTAACTGCCAACCTGAAAATGTTTGAGGTTAGAAAAAATTGCCGACCTCATTTTTATGTTTTATGATCAGACTTTTGTATCAAATAGTTTTTGCCGACCTCAAAAAGATTGAGGTCAGTAAATTATTGCTCATTTTTCCTAATTCCGAGGGTTGTATATATATATATATATATATATATATATATATATATATATATGTTATATATATATATGTTATATTAAAATATATATGTATATATATATATATATATATATATATATATATATATACATACATACATACATACATACATACATACATACATACATACATACATACATACATACATACATACATACATGTTAAACGCACATAATATCATTATTATGTTGTTAAACGCACAATAAAAAATAAAAACTGTAATAAACATTATAATTCTATATATCCTATTAGATTATATATATTTAGACAAAACTTATAAACTCTTTTAAAACTTTTAAAAGTGTTTTGTAATATGCCAATAAACAAGGCTAGCACAAAGGAGGGTGAGACTTCCGACATCAATCAAATTTTGTTTATTTAGCCAGCAATATGACGCATTTAGACAAGTCTGTCAGCTAATGTAGACTATTTACATGAGTCAAATTTCAAAAAACCAGGACTTTTTTTTCATGTAATCATGTTTTTTTTTTAAAGTATTAAAAATGTGTTTTAGATTTTAGTCCTAATTGTTTTTTATTATAAATATTTTTAAAATAATTTATTATAAATAAATAAAAAAACTGTCAATCACATAATTATTTGGGAAAAAAATTGCTGAAGTAATGAATTCTTTTTTAAAAATTTTAAGCTAACGTCAACATTTGCATAAGAAAAAGTGAAGAAAAGTGACATTTTTTTTTCTGCCTTTTTTTAAACAAATGTTGGCATGCTCGTCAATTTGTTGCGCCCTATATATATATATATATATATATATATATATATATATATATATATATATATATATATATATATATATATATATATATATATATATATAAATATATATAAATATATATATATATATATATATATATATATATATATATATATATATATATATATATATATATATGTATATATATATATATATGTATATATATATATATATATATATATATATATATATATATATATATATATATATATATATATATATATATATATATATATATATATATATATATATATATATAATTATATTTAGATGAATAAAAACAACTGATTAGCGGGACTTAAAGTTTCATGCCCGAAGGCAATCATCAGCCGTTAATACCCGTTAATACAATTATGGGTATTAACGTATTAACAGCTGATGCCTTCGGGCATGAAACTTTAAGTCCTGCTAATCAGTTGTTTTTATTCATCTAAATATATATATATATATATATATATATATATATATATATATATATATACATATATATATATATATATATATATATATATATATATATATATATATATATATATATATATATATATATATATATATATATATATATATATATATATATATATATATAACATTGCAACCTTATCTCTTCCCCAACTTCATCTATTTACTACAGATGATTCCTTGATGTCTGTGTTCCATCACTTTATATCAAATTTGTAAAAACTATACAAAACCAATTGTGAACACAACGTTAATAAAAATGTTTCGTTTTTAATTTCAAAAAAAAAAAAAAGAAAAAAAAAAAGATAAAATAAAATCAAATAATGTCTTATTTTGTCCATTCAGAAAATATTTAGCTTTAGTAGGTCTTTAAATTTTGAACTAAAAAAGGCAACAGAGTTATGTATGCTTGTTTCAGTTTATCAGGCACTTCGATCATTGATCTATGGGATGTAACACACATAAAATTAAATATTTCCATTTTTCCATATACTTTAACTTTAACTTTTACTTTTAATATTTCATAACCTTTTAAATTTCAATTTCTCTAAGTGAACATGACTTAAATGAACAAACAACCAAGAAGTTTGGCTTTAAAACTCTGCAAATTTCAGAAATTTTTCTTGTATCATGTTTATATACAATATTGAATTGTTATA